AGAGACACAGAGACACAGTGACACAGAGACACAGAGACACAGAGACACAGAGACACAGAGACACAGAGACACAGAGACACAGAGACACAGAGACACAGAGACACAGAGACACAGAGACACAGAGACACAGAGACACAGAGACACAGAGACACAGAGACACAGAGACACAGAGACACAGAGACACAGAGACACAGAGACACAGAGACACAGAGACACAGAGACACAGAGACACAGAGACACAGAGACACAGAGACACAGAGAGACACAGAGACACAGAGACACAGAGACACAGAGACACAGAGACACAGAGACACAGAGACACAGAGACACAGAGACACAGAGACACAGAGCCACAGAGCCACAGAGACACAGAGACACAGAGACACAGAGACACAGAGACACAGAGACACAGAGACACAGAGACACAGAGACACAGAGACACAGAGACACAGAGACACAGAGACACAGAGACACAGAGACACAGAGACACAGAGACACAGAGACACAGAGACACAGAGACACAGAGACACAGAGACACAGAGACACAGAGACACAGAGACACAGAGACATAGAGACACAGAGACACAGAGACACAGAGACACAGAGACACAGAGACACAGAGACACAAAGACACAGAGACACAGAGACACAGAGACACAGAGACACAGAGACACAGAGACACAGAGACACAGAGACACAGAGACACAGAGACACAGAGACACAGAGACACAGGACACAGAGACACAGAGACACAGAGACACAGAGACACAGAGACACAGAGACACAGAGACACAGAGACACAGAGACACAGAGACACAGAGACACAGAGACACAGAGACACAGAGACACAGAGACACAGAGACACATAGACACAGAGACACAGAGACACATAGACACAGAGACACAGAGACACAGAGACACAGAGACACAGAGACACAGACACACAGACACACAGACACACAGAGACACAGAGACACAGAGACACAGAGACACAGACACACAGACACACAGACACACAGACACACAGACACACAGACACACAGACACACAGACACACAGACACACAGACACACAGACACACAGACACACACACACACAGCCACACACACAGACACACACAGACCCACACACAGACACACACACAGACACACACACAGACACACACACAGACACACACACAGACACACACACAGACACACACTCAGACACACACACAGACACACACACAGACACACACACAGACACACACACAGACACACACACAGACACACACACAGACACACACACAGACTCACACACAGACTCACACACAGACACACACACAGACACACACACAGACACACACACAGACACACACACAGACACACACACAGACACACACACAGACACACACACACACAGACACACACACAGTCACACAGACACACACACACAGACACACAGACACACAGACACACAGACACACAGACACACAGACACACAGACACACAGACACACAGACACACAGACACACAGACACACAGACACACAGACACACAGACACACAGAGACCCAGACACACAGACACACAGACACACAGACACACAGACACACAGACACACAGACACACAGACACACAGACACACAGACACACAGACACACAGACACACAGACACACAGACACACAGACACACAGACACACAGACACACAGACACAACACAGACACACAGACACAGACACACACAGACACACACAGACACACACAGACACACACAGACACACACAGACACACACAGACACACACAGACACACACAGACACACACACAGACACACACACAGACACACACACAGACACACACACAGACACACACACAGAAACACACACAGACACACACACAGACACACACACAGACACACACACAGACACACACACAGACACACACACAGACACACACACAGACACACACACAGACACACACACAGACACACACACACAGACACACACAGACACACACAGACACACACAGACACACACAGACACACACGGACACACACAGACACACACAGACACACACAGACACACACAGACACACACAGACACACTAAGACACACACAGACACACACAGACACACACAGACACACACAGACACACACAGACACACACAGACACACACAGACACACACAGACACACACAGACACACACAGACACACACAGACACACACCGACACACACAGACACACACCGACACACACAGACACACACAGACACACACAGACACACACAGACACACACAGACACACACAGACACACACAGACACACACAGACACACACAGACACACACAGACACACACAGACACACACAGACACACACAGACACACACAGAAACACACAGACACACACAGACACACACAGACACACACAGACACACACAGACACACACAGACACACACAGACACACACAGACACACACAGACACACACAGACACACACAGACACACACAGACACACACGACACACACAGACACACACAAAGCCTTTTTGCAGCAATTCCGATGACTTACCCCATGGTGAAACAACAGGGCCCGTAATGAAGATGACTTAGAGCTTCCGTTTCTGACACAGCGGACGTGCCGAGTTGTCCATTCTTTCACGCATACTTGTTGCACTTGCAAGATGCTTGCGCACCATCTCAGATTCAAGGAGATGGCTGGAGAACTGGTTATTGATTTTTCCCTGCGGTGCCTTCCTGACCAGCATGGAGCTATGCTCGCAAGATGTCTCCGAGGACATGAACCTCAGAAAAGAAAACCTCCGAGCAGCTCTCCTTTTGTGGCTCCTTCGAAAAATTTGAGTGGGTCCAGACCTCCAGAGCCCTGAAACGGCTTCCCCTTAAGCCTACCTATTTAGCCGTGCCAGTTGTTCCGTGGGAAATCCACTGGAGATCGAGTCTCCATGCCTGGAAGGGACATGGGCGACTTTCCAAATGTTCTCGTGACAACCGGGAGACTCTCCAATTTGCCCCATTCAAACACAAAGCCAGCGGAGTCTCTATTTGTTCTATGATTTTTTTTAAAAAATCAAACCCAGGGACTCTGATTGTTCACATTGCAAGCTTTGGGGATTCCCCACCTCTTCCCACAAGAATCCCGGAAACGCCGTAGTTCTTCCCACGTCCACGGCGAGACCCGCACGCCGCAGGCTATGTGCTGGCGCGGAACTGCGAGCGCCCCGCCTCCGAGACCCGGGTCTTCCTCAACGTGGCGGGGAGCCGCTCGGAAGCCGCTTGTAACAAGCGGCTGCGGCGGTCGAAACCAATGGGTACCCCTGGTGAACATCAAAATACTTTAAGGCGCATGGTTGCCGCTTGGATGTTGGGACTGAACCACTTTTTGCCAACGCATTTAGGTTTTCTGTAATTAAACCGCTAGAAGTCAGTCACTTTGAGCGGGGGAGCGAGAATAGGTGGTACATGGGTGTTCATCCGCCCCAAAATGGAGGCATAGGTTATGACCCATGGCCATGTGGAAAAAGAAACCCGACGCCGTGGTCCCAGCTCCGGTGCAATCATGGACAAGTGCCCTCCCAAGAATCCGATCATGGAGAGGTGGGGACGTTTTGGGGCTTCCCCAAAAGGAACGTGGTCTTTACCACACTCCTGTCAGCTTGATTGGAGGGAAATCTCCCTCCCACTAACATGGAAGCTGTCAGAGTTCCCTCCAAAATAAGATTGATCTTCCAGGCACCTGTGGGAGGGTACTGGAAGATCATGTTCCTCTTGTAGGGACCCCCAGTCAGGTTTTATGTTAGTGAGGGTGCGGGAAAACCGTAAATCTCCATTTGAGCCACGTCCTCAAAGCCGATTCGGGAAGATGAAGGTTCAGGGACATTCCCGAGCGTAAATGGGTGTGCAGATATCCGCTTTGTTAGTTCTGTACCATGGTTTTGGGTAGGGGACGTCCCCGAATTCGAGAACCAACCCGCCAAATGTGTGTGAAAGGTTGCGGGTCGGGTATTTCGAGTTGCTGAACGTGGGCTTCTGTGGTAAAATACATGGAGCAGCCGCTGCGCCACCATCTACCCGGGTGTCTTTGCCGAGGGAAACCAATGCATGTCACAGGCTCGGGTTAAGTTGATTCCAGGTTCTGAATTGAGGATTGGACAAGAATATCAAGGTGTTTGTTTGGGTCTTTCTGGATATCGCTGGTTTCCAATCCTCAAAATTTCGAACACTGGGCTTCTGAGGTTATGCTCCAATAGGTATCAGTTGATGGCAAGCGCCTCTCGGTGTCTTGTGGCCATAATTTGATGGCAAGGAAGTCTGACTTTTGGATCTGCCAACAGCAAGTCACGGCAAGTTTGGAACAGCCACGGGGAGAAATGTATGTTTCTTGTAGATCGCTCTGGGGGAGTTCTCGCAACTTGGCATGCCCACCTTTCCTGGCCTCCACCATGTCGGCTGTGTGATCGAGAGATATGTTGAGGAATCTCCGCCTCAATTTAGTGGATTGTATGGAAGCTTGGTCCCAATGAAGGGACCCGGTGTCCCTTCCCATCGTGTATTTTTACTTAGCTGCGGAAATCAGACATGTTAATACTGTGGATGGACGAACTCCTGCACCACTTTAAAACCATGAGAACCACTGTTTGCTGGTATTTCTAGGGGAATCATCATTCCAGGGTTTCTCAGGTGATGCAGGATTTCGTCCATCCGCAGTAGTGGGGTCATGATCTTGGCTGTTTCGGTTAGCAAAGTCAGAACCTAGCACTTGGGAGGTGACATAGGTGGAATGGGGCCAGTTGAAGCGTGCAAAAGCTGCAGGGAATGAGAAATGGAATGACCCCGAGACAAAACCATCCATTTCCCATGGTTTCCTTTGTTCGGGAATCCCAACACGGTTCCCTCCATTTTTCATTCCCTACCTCTTGCAATAAATTGTTTATATATGTTATCAATTGGTATAATGGTGCAACTTCAACATGTTTATCCTTTAAGTTACTTATCAAAAAAAAAAACATTATATAGATATTGTAACAAATCAGGTGTTGTATCTTTATTACTTATGCTTAGCAGATAAATGTATGGACACGGTTCCCTACCCATGTCTCATTCCCTACCCGATTTTCGCAGCAAGATCATCGTATGGAAGCGCCGCTTTTTCGCCTTGTGCAGGCGGATGGCTTCATCTCCCCGTGGCTCTGCAACTTTGCGGACTTCATCGGTGGGGCTGCTCGGGGAATCTTCTTTTTTTGGAAGTCGGTGCCCCGTTTTTGTGGCCTCGCTTTGGGCGGTTTCTGTTTGGGGAACCAGCTTTTGGCGGTTTGAAAGGGCAAGGGAACATCTTCAGGAGCTGAGAGCGGCCGCTTTTTGCGGGGTTGGTGCCCCGTTTTTTTGTTGGGGGGGGAACCAAATGGAGAAGCCGCGATTTTGGGTGGGTGCATCATTACCATCTTGTTGGAGCTTAGAACTTATTGAGAGCCCCTCATGGATGGCTTGGTGAAACAGGATACAATCATTTTGGGTTCCGCGTTAGACCTGTATTAGTTTCCGACTAAACCGCTACCTTTTGGCTAGAGGGTAATCCCAGGCCAAGCTTTTGAACCTTCAGCTCCCGTTTCTGATCCATTTCAGCCGCCGCAAACACTTAGACGAGGTTTTTTTTGTTTGACACGTGTGTTCCTTCACAATCACGGCTGGATGGTGTATTCACAGTTGGACATCACAGCAACAAAAGTTCTGTACTACGTTGGCAGTCGACAGATGAATGAATTTCGCGCCCATCTCTAGTTCAGAACTTCCCTTTGTGTTGATTTTCAAACACATAGCGCCAAATGCACCGTGTGGAAGCTCATGTACGAGTGGCATGCCGATCGGATAAGTTTGAACGGCTAATTACTGTAGGCTTGTGGCGTTGTCCCTTTTGGGTTGCTGGTATGCGAGAGGGTGTTGCAGACACTGAGATGATTCTCACCTAGCTTCCATATTCCAGTTCATTGGTGTGTTTGTGCTCGAGGCCGGTTCTTCAAGAAGCACCCTCAGACCAACCTGATCGGCATCCTCACGGTCATCGCGTCCCAGACTCAGCAAAAGAAGAACACACAGCCCGAATCGTTCGTGCCCAGCTAACATTTGGCTGGGTGGCTACTTGTGTAACAACTAGGCAGCCTAGGCGTCCGATGTTTCAAGCAAACCAATGTGACGGCAGTCATTTGGACGGAGCCACTAGTTTTAGCAACCCGGCCATGCTGCTGCTCTCTTCATGTCACAATGTTATACTTGACCAAAGTCAGACGTCCGGTGGAAATTCTGGGCTGTCGAGCTGCAGCTTCCAAAATGCTAAGACTCGTTTCGGACTCACAGCCATTGTCACACTTGAACCTTGCATATTTCTCCGCAGGCGCCGCATGATGAACGACACCGAGACTGCTGCAGGCACCTGTGTGTGTGTGTGTGTTACGGCAGCCAATGAATATGGGCTGCCTTGTATTGAGAGTCTGATATGGGGCGGGCAAGAAGCAGGTGAGACTGGCTAAAGATTCCAGTAGGACCAGACTGTGTGAGTTGCTGGCTGTAGAGTTTTGTTTTTTAAATGAGTGCTATGCTAGGCGAGCGTGCGAATCCGGTTGCTTGCTATGTGTGTGTGTGTGCGTTGTTTGTGTCGGTCTTTCCTACATCCGGGTACCGCGCCTTCTTTCATCAAGTCAGTCCAACCCCGGCACAGGCCAGAAAAAGCAAAGACATGTAGATTTGCTCCTCAAGTAGCTCATGCTATCAGACACCTGCATTTCCGGAAGCAAGCCCTTTCTCTCTGTCTCTCTGTCTCTCTCTCTCTCTCTTTCTCTTTTTGTCGGGTCTTGACAGATTGTGCGGACACAAGCTGAAGCATGTCGCGCAGTTTGCGGCATTCATGCAGCACCCCATGTTCCTGCTGTGCACGGAAAGAGCACCCCATTGGGTACAATGGAGCTGTTCTGATCGGCTTAGCTGCAGCCTTCCAGGTAGGCACTCTGGCAAGAAGTTCAAGGCTGGGCCTGGAGGGTTGGCGCGAGCCTTATTGGCCAACGGTCTTCTAGCTGGCGTCGGTTTTGCGCCAATGGCAATTGCTGCATATTGTGCATGAACAATCAGCTTGCGGCAACAAGCCTGTACCATTCTGCCTCACTCGGAATTTGATTTGTACTAAGCTGTGCAAGACGATGAGACATGGGCTCCCTTTCCGCAGGGGTAGGGTTGTCAATGTGTCAGTATGAGGGCCCCCTTTGTGCTACGATTTGACAAAGTCGTGCCGTTTGAGGCATTGCTTATAGAGGGTTTCGAAGAAGAAGTGGCTTTTTCCAAAACGCATAGGAACTCTGCATGTTTGAAGGGATAGGCTATTGGGAGGCATTGCGGTTGAAAATGGTTATTCCGTTGGGTTTAGGATGGTTTAGGCATGTTCTATCCTATCCGCCAAGGAGCGTTTACAGTGTGTTTCGCAATCTTGAGACATGACTTCTCTTTTGCTTAAGCTGGTTCGAGTCGACACCTTGCTTTTCCTGTCACCTGGACTAACCTGGCGTGTGTGCAGGGCTGAGCGGGTGCGCTTGCGCGGGGGTGCTTACCATTTGGCTGGCGTGTGCGCGGGTGCGCTTGAGCGGGCGTGCTTACCGCTGAGCGGGCGCGCTTGAGCGGCTGGCGTCGAAAAGTTGGCGCGGAAGTGAGTTGATGGCAGCGGGTGCAGAAGTGAGTGCACTTGTGGGCGCGGGTTCGGCAAAGGTGGGCCCAACTCTTCAACGGACGATTGGTGATTTTGCTTTGATCTCGTTTTGATCTCGTGTTTTTTTTTGCCAGGGCTACGCTTGCCTGCTTTCCAGAGAAAGAAGGACGTGAAAAAGACGGCGCAAGAGCCGGCAAAGCAACCCATTGTTCCAAAACTCTCCTGCAGCAACTTGTTGTATGCTTAGCGGTCCATCGGTTCTCATGTTCCTGTAGACGCCTCGCAGGGCTGGAAAGCATGCTTTGCCATCATTAGCGCTCCATTGTGCTTCAGTGTTGACACCTGTGTTGTTTTAGCATGATCATCTCGGTGATGTCAAACGTTCCATGGGGATTGTTGCCGAGGCGTGACTTAGGAGTGACTTCTTGTTACATGGGGAACACATGGCCACAGAGACAGGAGTGACTGGGGAGTGACTTTGTCGTTTGCCTGCAAGAGTTTAAAGGCTTGCTTTTTTTGTGCAAAGGGCAATGTCCATCCAGGGCGAGTCCTTGATCCGGGTGGTTCTGGAAAAGCTGATGGAGCTGCGCGCTCAGATCACCGGGCTGCAGAGCTCCGATGCGCTGCAGGTTCTCTTGGCGTTTGTGGAGCAACTGCTGGTTTTTGAGGGTTCATTCGGGTTGACGAGGCATTTTAGCTTGTTTGGCGGCGTCTGTGCAGCCTTGCCAAGCAAGAGAGTGCCCTGGTCGCTTGCTCCGTTGCTTGCTCGATTGCTTGCTCCATTGCTTGCTAGCTAGGCTGGCTGGCTGGGTGGTTGGTTGGCCGGTCTTGTTTGTGCTTGCTTGGTCTTGTTTGTGCTTGCTTGGTCTTGTTTGTGCTTGCTTGGTCCTGTTTGTGCTGGTGTGTTCTTGTTTGTTCTTGGTTGTTCCCGTTCATTGTTGCTTGTGATTGTTGCATGTTTGATTGTTTTGCTTTTCTTGTTTGCTATTATGTTTTCTTTGTCTGTTCTTGCTTGCGCTTGGTTGTTCTTGCTTGTTATTGTTTGTTCTGACTTTGCTGGTTGCTTGGTGTGTTGGGTCGGGCCGCTTTCTCACACAGTGTATTCCCTCTGTGTATGTGCGTGCGTGTGCGTGAGTGTGTGTGTGTGTGCTGACGCGTGCCAAGGCTCTTGGCAGCGCCTGCCAAAGCGCTCTGCCAATCTGAAAACTTCATACCCGACAATCGCAAGTGACAGTTTGAACTCGCCTATCTTGCAGTAACCTGCTGATCCCTGGCGAACTTGCCTTTCCATCTTTGCTCCCGCCTTTGTGAGTCAGAATTCCTCTATCCCACACCGAAGACCTTTTTGATCAACAAAATCAGCCAACGCGAGCTCCAACTTTGCAAGTCTGAGGCACATGGGCGGCCTGATCGTTGTGAAAGAGCCGGCGGCCTTAGGTTGGGGATTGAAGAGCTCTTTGTGAAACAAGAAGAGCGTGATAATTTTAAGAGTGTCGCTGCACCTTGGGCAATACGTTGGTTTTTGACAGGCCAATCGGGTTGACGCAACCTGGGGTTTTCCCACCAGCTCGACCTGTCATTGAAGTCAGTGAAACAACTCAGAGGATTCAGAGGTCAAAAGCCGACTTCAAGACCTTTTGAGGTCGAGTTCAGAGAGTGGAGTCGGTTCTAACATACATCCGGGTCTTTGAACGCTTTTATATAATTAGGGGGTCGTTGAGCGTGTGCCACGTACTTGGTTTGTAAGGATTGTTACCCTCTTTCCAGCCATCAGGGTTTTGTTTCTCGCGGAAGACAAAAAATGTCCTCTTGAAAAGGCGCCTCATCCACGTCCACAATGGCTAGAAGGGTAGGGTTTGAACAAACTCTACAGAGGTTGCCAAAGGTAGCATGACCACTACCCATACAAGAAATGTTTACCATGGCACATGTTGGAGTACATGCCCAAAGTAAGGGAGCACAAATGTTATGCCGAAAGCACGCATGACAGCTGTTTTTTTTTGTTTATTGGCAGGCCTCACCAAGCAGCCATCCAAAGGGAGTCCCTTGTTTTCAGATCAACCAAACAGACCCAACTGGGGTTGGGCCCCCCAAAATCGTGGGTTCCCTATTTAAAGGCGCCGACAAAACGGGGAGCCGCCCCCAAAACTGGTGCTCTTTTTCTTCGTGGCTTCCCCTGAAAGCCACGAAAATTGGGGGGGGTTGGGGTACCCTCGAAGCCAGGGAGCCGCACCGAGCCGCGCCGCAACGGATCGACGCGTCCGAGTCTCACGGCGGAGCAGCTGCTGTGCCTGGCGGGGGGGCAGCGACTGCGCCTGGAGCCGGGGGCATCCAGCGAAACGGCGGACGCGTGCGGCGTGGGGTGGTGGTTTTTTCGGGAGGGGGGGGGGGTAGAGGCTCACTCCCTGAGCTGGACTTGAGTCGCTTTTTCACATCTTTTTGGCGAATCCGCTGAGGAAGTGTTTTCGCCTTTTGGGGTCAACTTTCCAGTTCAGAAATTCAGGTCGCCCTTGGTTGGGAACTGGGGATTTGAAGCTGGTGATGGAATGGGTAAATGGGGAATCCCTAACCGCCAAACCAAATGGAGGGAAGCTCCCTTAGGGGGGATGTTTCCGCCGTGGGGCCTTGGGGAGGGAGGATCGCTGCAGATTCTCTTGTCTCTGTCCAGAAATTTGGGAAGTGAGTCTCCCCTTAGGAACCACTCTTTACACTTGGATCCGCAGGCAAAAAATGACCTCTGCTTGGACCTGTGTCCACAAAAAACTGGATCCCCCAAAGCAAAAGGAAACCAAAGGGGACGCCTACTTCTTCGAAACATTCACTGTTTTTGTTTGACGGCAAGGGGGGGTGGGGGGTGAGGGGCGGGGGGTGAGGGGTGGGGGGTGGGGGGTGGGGGGGTGGGGGGTGGGGCGTGGTCGTAACATCACCTTTGGCTAGTCGATTTGATTTCAGTTTCCTTCGAGTTGATGCTTGGAGCGACAAATAAAGGTTTGGTGGTTTACCGAGGCCGGCGTTAGACCAGCTGCCGCGATACTTGTGATTCCAGAAATGATACTTGTTAGACACCCCCCTACTGTGGATGGACAGACAGTTGCACCAGTTGGGATGGATGACCCCCCAATACATGTATAAATATGGCTGTAAAAACCGGTACCAAAATGGAACCCTGGTAAGTGGAAACATGCACCAAAACCTGCGTAACCCCTCCTGTTTAATTTTGAGCCACAGCCATATAGATGTAAGCCTGGTTTGTACCACCTGCCAAGTGGAAACCGCAGGAATTTGCCCATCAGTTTCAATCGGCGTCTTGGTCCATTGGTGGCAAGTTGGCTGCAGCCATCCGTCCGGTGAGATGCAGAGATCCAAACCTGAAGCCAGCAGAAAAATGTTTGAGCAGTGGTTCTATCATGCCTTGGGTGTTGGCGATTCTGCTTCGCCCAGCTGTTTCTGGGCTTTGAAGGAAACCAACGAGGGTGGGTAAACCACAGTGGTGTCATCATGTCTTGTGGCCACGCCCCAAACCTGAGACACATCAGAGGCATCTGGGCGCCTCCGGGGAACGGGCCACATCGTCGCCCGGCTCAGATTGCCAGATTTGTGCATGCCAGATGCTCAGCCTTCATCAACCAGGTGTTTGAAGATCCTCATTCTTTGGTGCATTTTGCTCGGATGTTAGGACTTTAACTTTTTGCAAACTAGTGGATTTTCCATTAAACCACTCAAAGATAGGCTTTTCGCAGGGGAGCAAAAAGCAACCGAGCATTGTTTTCACGTTACACGGCCTGGCTCAGCCAGCCGCGCCTACGATGGAGAATCTGGGCTCTGGAGTCTCTGAAGGAGACGCTTGCGAGCCAGCTGCACGGAATGAAGGCAGGCTTGCGCTTTCAAGTCGACGTCTTTGTAAAACATTACATTCTCACCAAGTACTGTAATATGGAACCTGACAGGGATAATAAAAGGAAAGGTATCCAATCCCGGACCCCCCCAAACGTCCGGTTTCATGTTCATTGGCGGGAAGGTATGTGCCTTTGAGAGTGCTTGTGAGTCTCGACTGGCCCCAAACGTCAAAAGGCCCGGAAACGGCGACAAAAACGAGTCCTTTCTCAGGCAAAGAAGGCGCAAGCCTGATGACCAACCCGCTCTTCATCCTGGAGGTCTGTGCTTTACCGCCCGCTGTTTAAAGTGAAGCCACAAGGAGGTTGTTGGAACAATGTGTCAAGCCGTGTTTGATACTACCCGACTCAACTCAATTCGAATCCATCCTCCATCTCAAAGTGCTATTGATTGTGGGGTGGATGTTCAAGTAGTAGGGAAGCCTTTTCAAGTGCTCCCTTGTCGAACCGTTGCTTATTATTAGCATTAAAGATAGTTTTGTGAAAGATATTCTTCTTCTTCTTCTTCTTCTTCTTCTTCTTCTTCTTAGTATGATTATTAGTATTATTATGTAAACCACAGAAAAACACACAACATAAACATATGTTCATCGATTCGAAGGCGGGGGAGATTGAGACCCGGCTCCGGAAGCACGCGGTGGAGCTCACGGAGCCCGCCATCGCCCGCACCGCCCTGTTCGAGCGCAAGCTGCTGGAGGACGGGTGCGTTTATTGCGAGCCCGGTTTCTTCGGCGCATTTTGCCAAGGGATGTTAGGACTGAACCACTTTTTGCCAACGAATTTGGGTTTTCCGTACTAAAACCCACTAAAAGTAAGTTCAACTTTTAGCAGGGGAGCAGAAAGCAACCGAGGTTTGGTGGTTGAGGGGCGGTGGTTTCCCACATCCACGAACTTCCTTGGTGGCGCAACCAGCCATCCGGTTCAACTTAGCCTTTTAGCCTTGTGGTAGTTTTCATTTTGAACCCACTAAAAGTTAGTCACTTTGAGCGTGGATCTGAGGGCAGCCCAGGAACCAGTTTTAATCTTTGCGAGCGGAGCGAGAGATGCAGGGAATGAGAGATAGAATGATTTTTGGCGAGAAGAAGCATCCAACTCGTGGTGTCCTTTATTTGGGGACCAAAGCCAGGGTGCATTCCCACATTCCCTAGCCATCGCACCAAGTCCTGGGGAACGCGGCGAGCCAGTGAATCCACGGGATGTGTTCCCATGTTGACCCCATACTCAACCAACCAGTTTCTTAGGGGGTGTTTTTGGCCTCTAAAGTGGCCGAGTCTGCTCACCAAACCCAGGGACACCCTTTTCATGAACTGGGGTTGAGGAAAACTATGGGGTCAACAGGAATAGGGGCTGGCTTCTCCGGTTTCTCCATGAGCCTGTCAGCTCGGTGCTTTGGAGCCCGATCAGTTTTTTTGGATTTGAATGGGAAACCACCCCCTCACCAATCCAAACCAATTCGCGGGAAGCTGAGCTTTCATGGGGAACGCAGAGTTTCATGTCAAGGGATGGGTTCTCTTCTCCTGAAACTTGTGCGAAAGGGGAACATAGGGAAACAATCAAAATGAGGATGCAGAGTTTCAACTTGTTGGCCCAGGCTTTGGTCCCCGAAAAAAGGAAACCACCAGTTGGACGCTTTTCTCGGGGGGTTAAGACCCCATTTGGGTGTGGCTCAAAATTAAACAGGAGGGGCAAACCGCAGGTGTTGGTCCATGTTTCCACTTACCGATCGGGCAACCCATTTTGGACTTCCGGATTTTTTTTATGAGCCACCGCCACTACTCCTTCCCTGCATCTCCATCTCCCGATGGCGAGTCCATTCGGAGGCCCGCTCCTTCGCGGAGCGCAACGCCGAGACCTTGAAAGGCCTCAGCCTGAAGCTCTCGGGGCAGGAGGCCTTGAAGACGACCATCGAGTCTTTCAGGTCCGATCTCTTTGAGTGGGACAAGGAAAGGCGAGAGCACCAGGAGTTGATGCGGCCAGGCCGAATTGTTTTCTTCACCAAAGCTCAAGCCAACTGCCGGCCTTTTTAACTTTGGACACACCAAAGCCCAAGCCAAATGCCAACTTTCTAAGTTGGCTTTCCGGATTTGTTTCCCTTGCCAGGAGAATGAATGTCTCAACTTTTTTGGCACTGGTCGAAGTTGGGTTCAGGAATGAGAAGATGTGTCTTCAGGAGGACGAGTTGAGCACTCTGCGGAAAAAGCTGGAACTGCAATCCTTCTCCACAGAAGCGTGCAATCGTGGCCTGAAGAGTTTGGGCGATTTGTTGGCAGAGACAAAGAATCTTGGCTCGCAATTTGGTTCCTTAGGTTTTGAGCTTTGCAGGGTTTAGTCCGGTTTCCACAACCTCTAGGGGTAACTTCCCCATTCTTTCCAGGGATCCTTCTTTCTAGAAAACCACCAAAACCCCTGGGGAAATGGCTGGTTTTTGAAAAGAACGATGGCCGAAAAGAATGGGGAATCACCCCCTAGAAAACCGCTAAAAGCTAGACTTTCAGCGAAGATCAAGAGCAGCCCAGGAACGAATTGAGCGAGATCCGAAGCTATTGCAGCGACAGAATCAACGTCAACCGGGACAAGATCATGAAGCTGCGAGATGAGTTTGAGTCCAGGAACGCTGCCACCGAGAGTGTCCAGTTCAAGCTACGAGATGATGTCACACATATGGCCACCATTGCCATGCATCTTCAGGCCGAAATGGAGCCTTCGCTGCATTTTGCCAAAAGTGTGTTAGGACTGAACCACTTTTTGCCCACGAATTTGGGTTTTCCGTATTAAAACCCACTCAAAGAAAGTTAAACTTTTTGCGAGGGAGCAGAAAGCAAGGACCGCGTGGGCGCGCTCACGTCTTGCACCATGGAGGGCATCGCGGACCTTTGGCGCGCCAAAGCGACGGTGGCTAGCGTGCAAGAGCAGCAGGACACCTTCGCCGAGTTCTCCCGCGCCCCAAACCCAAGACCTCGCGCTGGCCTTTTTTTTCCTTCTCCACGTTTTGCAGTTTTTTTGTCGCTTCCTGAGGGGCTCCCCTTTTTTTGAACCCCCCCCCCATTATTTTTAAGAGGGTCTCACTGCCACTTCCTGAGTTCCGTGTCGGACTTCAAACTTCTTGGGACGAGCATTTTGGGGAACAAACTGTTTGGTTAATCTTTGGTTGGCCCATCCACTCAGGAAACTTGTGAGTCTTGGTTTTCGTGCATCGTTTGTTTTCCTTTTTTTTCCTTCGGCCGGACAAAAAATGGAACCAAAAGTGCCGGGGCTCAGGTAGCTTGACGGACGCGGTGGAGTCGCTGAGGCTCCAGTTGGGCAGCGTGGTGGGCGAGGTCAAGGAACACTTTCAAACCGCCGCGCAGGCAACGTGACTTCCATTTTGCGTTTCGAAGCCTTTGAATAAATGTCCCCCTGCTTTTTTTTGTTTAAGGAAATTCCCATC